CACTTTGATTAGTGGAATGAATCTCTATTATTTACCTGACCATTGTTTACATTAATTTATGAACGTTGGATCTGGTGCATGTCATAAAATGATTGTTATTTCTTTTAATTCTGCTATATACAGTGGGGATCGAAAGTTTGGGCACCCCAGTTAAAAGTTTGTATTAATGTGCATAAAGAAGCCAAGGAAAGATGGAAAAATCTCCAAAAGGCATCAAATTACAGATTAGACATTTTTATAATATGTCAACAAAAGTTAGATTTTATTTCCATCATTTACACTTTCAAAATAACAGAAAACAAAAAATGGCATCTGCAAAAGTTTGGACACCCTGCAGAGTTAATATCTTGTACTGCCCCCTTTGGCAAGTATCACAGCTTGTAAACGCTTTTTGCAGCCAGCCAAGAGTCTTTCAATTCTTGTTTGAGGTATCGTTGCCCATTCTTCCTTACAAAAGTCTTCCAGTTCTTTGAGATTTCTGGGCTGTCTGTCACGCACTGCTCTTTTAAGGTCTATCCATAGATTTTCAATTATGTTGAGGTCAGGAGATTGTGAAGGCCATGGCAAAACCTTCAGTTTACGCCTCTTGATGTAATCCCCCGTGGATTTAGAGGTGTGTTTAGGATCATTATCCATTTGTAGAAGCCATCCTCTCTTTGACTTCAGCTTTTTCACAGATGGCATCAAGTTACCATCCAAAATTTGCTGAAATTTTATTGAATCCATTTTTCCTTCTACTCGTGAGATGTTCCCTGTGCCACTGGCTGCAACACAACCCGAAAACATGATTGATCCAACCCCATGCTTAACAGTTGGACAGAGGTTCTTTTCATTAAATTCTGTGCCCCTTCTTCTCCAAACGTACCTTTGCTCATTCCGGCCAAAAAGTTCAATTTTAACCTCATCGGTTCACAGAACTTGTTTCCAAAATGCATCAGGCTTGTCTATATGTTCATTTGCAAAGTTCAAACGATGATTTTTGTGGTAAGGACGTAGAAGAAGTTTTCTTCCGATGACTCTTCCATGAAGACCATATTTGTACAAGTATCTCTTTATAGTGGAATAGTGTACCACAACTCCAGTGTCTGCCAGATCTTTCTGGAGGGATCGTGCAGCCAAACGTGGGTTTTGAATTGTTTTTCTCACAATCCTGCGAGCTGTTCTGTCTGATATTTTTCTTGGTCTTCCAGATGTTGCTTTAACTTCCACTGTTCCTGATGACTGCCATTTCTTAATTACATTCCGAACAGAGGATATTGACATCTGAAAAAGCTTTGCTATCTTCTTATAGCCTTCTCCAGCTTTGTGAGCGTCAACTATTTTCAGTTTCAGTTTTCTAGACAACTGCTTAGAAGAACCCATGGTGCTGATTGTTGGGGCAAGGTCAGATGAGTCTGGGCATTTAAAACCTTTGAGATTGACATCACCTGGACGATGATTGAGAACAATCCATGACACTGGCAGGTCTCAGCTTGGCAAAGGGGGCAGTGCATGCTATAAATTCTGCAGGGTGCCCAAACTTTTGCAGACGCCATTTTTTTGTTTTCTGTTATTTTGAAAGTGTAAATGATGGAAATAAAATCTAACTTTTGTTGACATATTATAAGAATGTCTAATCTGTAATTTGATGCCTTTTGGAGATTTTTCCATCTTTCTTTGACTTTTTTATGCACATTAATACAAATTTTTAGCTGGGGTGCCCAAACTTTCGATCCCCACTGTATATGGTAATTCCCTTTATTATATACTCAAGCGCTGCAACTTGTTGCTGTAGTTGCGTACATGTCACCGCTAGGTGGGCTATTTAGACCTGCAGAACAGTAAAATCAATGCCTTCTGGTTTACAACATCCCTGCACTTATTACCTGATTCTGTTGCCTGTATCTTGATCTGACTTGACTAAGAAAGAACTCCACCTGCACCGACCTCGGCTATCCCTGACCATCGGCTTGCCTGCTCCCTTGTACTTGATCTGCTCGCTTAATACTGCCCCAGCTTGTCTGACTCTGCTGCACCTACTTACCTGTACTTGCACCTGGCTTGCATCCTGACGGCTGCCATACTTACCTGCTGCTGCACCCACGGTCCTGCACCTGGCCTACATCCTGGTCACTGCCATACCTGCCTGCTGCCGCATCCACGCTCCTGTGTCCAGTCCAGTCTGCATCCTGATTGCCGCCATGCCTGCCTGCTGCTGCACCTACGTTCCTGCATCTGCACCTGGCCTGCACCCGGATCTCCTGGGTCTCCAGCTACCTGCCGCCAGCTCCAGATCTACCCAGCACTCGTGCCACTCCTGGCTCTCCACCCTCTGTTCCCACTATCAGGGGCTCTGAGCAGAAGTCATAAGAGGATGCCTTCTCTCCACGTCAGGCTCCCCAACCAGGTATGTGACAGGCACTATTCCTCCCACTAATACCAATGATGGAGTACTATTCCTTCCACTAATACCAATGATGGGGCACTATTCTTTCCACTAATACCAATGATAAGCACTGTTCCTCCCACTAACACCAATGATGGAGTACTATTCCTTCCACTAATACCAATGATGGGGCACTATTCCTCCCACTAATACCAATGATGGGGCACTATTCTTCCCACTAATACCAATGATGGGGCACTATTCTTCCCACTGATACCAATGATGGGGCACTATTCTTCCCACTAATACCAATGATGGGGCACTATTCTTCCCACTGATACCAATGATGGAGTACTATTCTTCCCACTAATACCAATGATGGGGCACTATTCTTCCCACTGATACCAATGATGGAGCACTATTCCTTCCACTCATACCAATGATGGGGAACTATTCTTCCCACTAATACCAATTATGGGGCAGTATTCCTCTCACAAATACCAATGATGGGCATTATTCTTCCCACTGATACCAATGATGGGGCATTATTCTCTCACCAATACTAATGATGGAGTACTATTCCTTCAACTGACACCAAAGATGGAGCACTATTCCTACTCCTACTCACCACAAATTCTATGTAGTTTCATTACTCCCATTGGCCTCCAAGTCTGAGATACTGTTTGCTCCCACTTACTCTGCGGCATTTTCTACTCCCACTGGATATAATTTGCCTCCGCCAAAAGTCTGAAGGACAGTAAACTGGCCCTATGGTTAGAAAGTTTGCAGATTTATAGCATGGGTTTTCCCAATTCTATTGTTTCATTCTCCATACTATGAATGAAGATGAACATTTAGAAGGGCTGTTGGTAATTACTAATATACTAAGTCTGTGGGCTACTCCAGCTTTTAAGAGGACAAGAAGCCGTGGCTCTTGCACAGGGTTACCCGCAGATCTACGTACACCGGAGTATAGTATAGGTAGCATAGAGTGAGCAAGGCAAGCTCTAAGACTTATGCAGGCCATAGATGGGGAGAAAAACGGCCGATTTTTCGTCCGAAAATAAAACCGGCCGATTATCTTATCGTTAGTGGACGATTTTGTCGGCCGTTTTTCGTGTATTTTGGACTTTCAGATTATCGGTGATGTTGGAAAATTTTCAAAAAACGCCCCGACTTTATCCTCATTGATGGTCAAAAACGAACGATCGTTTTCCGAAAAAGGATCACAAAGGCCACAAAATGACATCATTTCCCGTTATAGGTTACTCATTAATCGGCCGATTTTCGTAATAATTGGTGGTCAGGTAAGTTTTTTAGACCGACCGATAGTTCGTTAATCGGCCGAAAATCTGCCGTTTTTCTCCCCATCTATGGCCTGCATTAGATTAGGTAGAAGGATAGTTGTCCTTTAATGTTAATGTTGCTTATTTCTGTTTGTCTCTATTGCCTAGGTTATTCTGCATGCTTATTGGGGTTGAGTTAGTTAGTGGAATGCTGCTACCACCTAGTGACAGAAATATCACAATGCATCCTGCACAGAGATATCATGCCATCAGAATGGTGTGAGAGGTATTGGGCAGCAGTTCATCAATGCACAGTGTACAGGAAAGAATTGGTAAATGCCTTCCTGTCAGCAGATGTTATCTGGGAAACAGGTTAATGCTGCTTACAAGCCACAAAGAACTCTGAACAGCTTCTAGAGCCAGTGAGAAAAAAATTGCTAGTAAAATTGAAAAGCCTGCAGCATCAACCAATCTTCATCCCCTTGCCTCTTCAGCATATACCAAAGCTTGAATCAAAAAGCAAGGTGTTGTGCTCCACTAACAATACTAAAGATGTGAAAATATATAAACATACATAATTATGAATAAATAAAGAAGATATATATGAGTATTAAATTAAATAAAATAAATAAATAAAGTGGGTATGTCCGACATTAATTCAGCCGCATGATGTTGCAATCATGCTGATTCTGCGCACGTATATTTGAATAATCCGTGACTTAGATGTGTCTTTAAATGGTGCAATAGTGCAATAGTCTACCAATCTTCAATTATGTGCTCCTTCACCAGTTGTGCTCTCACCTGACGTATATAACGCGTTCCAAATTATTATGCAAATTCTATTTAAGTGTCACAAAGATTAAATATTTTGTTTTTCAGTGTAACTCATGGATGGCATTGTGTGTCAGGGCTCTTTTGATCACTGAAAACAATGTCGGACACCTGTGATAATTAGATTGGCCGGTGAGCCCAATTTAAGGAAAAACTGCTAAAGGACAGTGTTCCACATTATTAAGCAGAGCACCATTTTCAAGCAATATGGGGAAGAAAAAGGATCTCTCTGCTGCCGAAAAGAGTGAAATAGTTCAATGCCTTGGACGAGTTATGAAAACATTAGATATTTCACGAAAACATAAGCGTGATCATCGCACTATTAAGAGATTTGTGGCTGATTCAGAGCACAGACAGGTTCGTGCAGATAAAGGCACATTGAGGAAGATTTCTGCCAGATCCATGCATCGGATCAAGAGAGCAGCTGCTAAAATACCATTACATAGCAGCAAACAGATATTTGAAGCTGCTGGTGCCTCTGGAGTCCCACGGACATCAAGGTGTAGAGTCCTCCAGAGTCTTGCAACTGTGCATAAACCTTCTATTCGGCCACCACTAACCAATGCTTACAAGCAGAATGTCAGGAATGGACTCGCCAATGGTGGTGGGACTCACCTGCCTTGTGGGCTGCAGTACCAAGGTTGGCCAGCAGGTGCTCTCAGCAGCCAGAATCTCACTCCTGCAATCAGGTTATCACCTGAAGCTGATTGCAGGAGGTGTTTTAAGCAGGACCAGGCCTGTGATCAGTGCCTTGGTGTATGTTTCCCATGAGCCCCTGTACCTGCATCCTGTCTGCTTCCTGCCTGATCCTGATCCTGATTCTGCAAGTAGCAGAACACTGCTTCAAGTGATTTCTTCACCACAGCATGTAGACTACACACCACTTTTGTTGAAAACAAGATAAGGCCCAGCGGCTCCTCCGCCCGTTGAAATATATGTGGCATGCCTTGTTTCCTATATAAAGCACCATAATGTCCCCATCCTGTAGTAAGACAAACAATATGAGGGAAGTCACTGTAAGAGCTTTCACTCGATAATAGACATTTATGCCATATAGGTCACAAGGGACCTTTAATCTAATGTCCTGTAGCAGTCCACTCACCACCTGTGCAATGGGTAATAAGAACGAAAAGGATATCCTTCATAAGTACTGCCCTTCAAAAGGTACTGCTGTATGGAACCAAGGAACCACCGCTAACATCAGCCGACATACCGCGGGTTCCGACCTCTCCATGGCGCCTGTGCCGCCTAAGTATGCCTCATGGCATGTGAAGATGGCTACCTCCTTGTAGGTCAGCGTGCGTTCCACCTAGTGCGCATGACCGGTCATTGAGGGGGGGTACTGTCAGGAATGGACTCGCCAGTGGTGGTGGGACTCACCTGCCTTGTGGGCTGCAGTACCAAGGCTGGCCAGTGGGTGCTCTCAGCAGCCAGAATCTCACTCCTGCAATCAGGCCATCACCTGAGGCTGATTGCAGAAGGTGTATTTAAGCAGGACCAGGCCTGTGATAAGTGCCTTGGTGTATGTTTTCCATGAGCCCCTGTACCTGCATCCTGTCTGCTTCCTGCCTGATCCTGATTCTGCTTTGATCCTGACTCTGAACGAACTCCGCCTGTCCTGACCTCGGCTATTCCTGACCACTCTTCCGCTGCTACCGTTTGCCCGTTAGCTACCGACCCGGCCCGCCTGACTACGTTGTGCTATATATATATATATATATATATATATATCAGCTTAGGTTTGGGTTTGTTTCACCTTGTTGTATGTATTTGTGTTAGTTTTGGGTTTGGTTTGTTGCACTGCATTTATGTTTGTGTTGTCCTTAATAAATTATCTTGTTTACACGCTATACCTGAAGTCTGTGTTTCCCTGTGTCGGTCCACACACCTCTGGTCATTCCCAGAGCCCTGACACAGAAACTGCTGCATTGGGCAGAAAAATACATGAAGACTAATTCTCAAACAGTCCTGTTCACTGATGAGTGCTGTGCAACCCTGGATGGTTCAGATGGATAGATGGTTGGTTGGTGGATGGCCACCCTGTTCCAACAAGGCTGCGACATCAGCAAGGCGGTGGTGGAGTCATGTTTTGGGCCAGAATCATGGGAACAGAGCTGGTCAGCCCCTTTAGGGTCCCCGAAAGTGTAAAGATGACCTCTGCAAAGTATGTGGAGTTTATAACTGACCACTTTCTTCCCTGGTATAGAAGGAAGAACTATGCTTTCCATAATAAAATCATCTTCATGCATGACAATGCACCATCTCATGCTGCAAAGAATACCTCTGCATCAATGGCTGTTATGGGGATAAAAGGAGAGAAAGTCATGGTGTGGCCTCCATCCTCCCCTGACCTCAAACCTATTGAGAATCTTTGGAGCATCCTCAAGCAAAAGATCTATGAGGGTGGGAGGCAGTTTACATCCAAACAGCAGCTCTGGGAGGCTATTCTGACATCTTGCAAACAAATTCAGAAACTTCAGAAACTGTCCAAAAACTCACAAGTTCAATGGATGTAAGACTTGTGAAGCTGCTATCAAATAAGGGGTCCTATGTTACAATGTAACGTGACCTGTTAAAATGTTTAAAAAAGTTAAAATGTTGTTAAAAGTTTGATTGAAATAGCTTTTGATTTCAGTAAATATGCTGCAAACACAACAAATGACAATTTTCAGTTCTTTACAACCTATAAAGTGTTTTGAAACTTACTGTGTGTAATAATTTGGAACAGTGCATTGTAAGTTTTGTATGTTTAACAAAAATACTGTTATCATTAGGAGGTTTGTTCAATAAAATTTGAATTGTACTCTTAATAGTTGATAACATGAGAATGCTGACTGTTATTTACATCAATTATCTAGGTAAATGAGAAAAATATCATTTGCATAATAATTTGGAACACGGTGTATGACCAAACCGTTAAGTGAGGTCATAAAATCTTGTGTCCCTTTAATTGGACTCAGAGATGAATAGATGAATGTATCCGTTTCCCAGATGGATTGATGGATGAGTGGAGTGTTTCCCTTTTCCCAGCAAGGGGTTTTGCTGCTTCCTAGAGACCTAATTCCTGGAGGAAAATGGATGGATGGAGTTATCCCTCTTCCCACTAGGGGGTTTCTTCACTCCCTTCAGATTTTTCTCTCCATGTGCATAAGTACCATGTAATTTAAAAATAAAATCTAGTGCCTTATCTTCTTTTTAAAATATTTATTAAACAAATGAAGTGCACTCACATGTATTTTGAATTGAAAACACTTTTTTTTTACAAAAATACAGGATCCTCAATGTGTTTGCCACACTCCAATATACTTGCTGTGTAGTTGCCTTAAGTGTCGTGACGTCAGAGCCCCCCCCATATGCGTTACGCCACCGGGTCATGTGGCTTCATCAGGGGGAAATGATTGGACGACACGGTACTCATTGATTTATATAGGAACTTCGGGCGCCATTCTCTAGTGGTCCAGTGGGCCTAAATAAGGAATTTGACCTCTCGTGTTTCATTAGTAACTATTAAAATATACTTCACCTTTATTTAATCAGGATTACACTCCTTTAGAATAAGGAGTGTGACAAACACATTGAGGATCCTGTATTTTTTTTAAAAAAAGTGTTTTTAATTCAAAATACATGTGAGTGCACTACATTTGTTTAATAAATATTTGAAAAAGAAGATAAGGCACTATATTTTATTTTTAAATTACATAGTACTTGTGTACATGGAGTGAAAAATCTGAAGGGAGTGAAGAAACCCCCTAGGGGGAAGAGGGATAACTCCATCCATCCATAGTGTAGACGACCCACTTATTAAGTGTTCTTGCATGGCAAGACCACTTACTGTTATCTCACATATATATTCTTATTATTATAGCCAAATTTACCACCCTAACTCCTCTCACAGTTTTTACACTACATAGACAGTAATATATCGAAACGTGCGGATTGTTCCAGATTGGTGGGCTATTACTTTGTGGAACGTTTCGCCGAATGGTTCACGAAATATCACCGTTTTTGTGGTGAAATTGGTCCCATAGGAATGAATGGCGGAATGTTCAAAACTAGAGTGGGAGCTGACAAAAGCTACCGTGTGAGCTGAAAAATCAGGACATGATTTCTAAACTGCCATCACTCCCTCATTTTCAAACCCATTTACACAAATGTTATATCAAAACGTTCAGCTATCCCTGCTGCCATTAAAAATGTCCACGGCTAAACCATAGTCCTGATAGTTTTCACAATATGACCATTTGTTTGCAACTCACGCCGCCCATTGATGTTCATTGAAACTCCACTCTAGCCACCTCAAATTTGAAGGGCAATTTCTAAACTGCCACTGTGCCTTCATTTTTAATATTTCAGAGACATACTATGCATCAAAATGTAGGTCTAGGTCTTGTGATTCTCACAATATAAAGCTCTTTGGTGTAGGATTTCTAATTTGTAAACTACAACCGTTTGAAGATGGCAACCGCCATAATGTTTACTATCTTTACTCACTCCAAACACTCCACACAGTTACTCTGCCCACTCCATAAAGTTACTCTGCCCAGTCCAACCTTTTCACAGTTACTCAAGCCACTCCACCCAGTTACTCCGTCCCACTCCAGTTGTAGACTACTGGTGGAGGAAAGAACACTTCACACAATTTCCCCAGAAATTGTAGCTTTTCTAGTTTATTTAAATATTTCACATACTAGTTTTGGATTTCATTTGTTGCATTTACTTCACTCAGTTTATTTAATTTAATGTTTTGGCAAAATTTTATTTACCGTTTTTTTATATAGTCACTAAAATTATTATCATATTTTTTATTTGTAGAATACACCATAGAAGCTCACAAGAATCACGTTTATCATATACCAAACCTTGACATATCATACTCTGTTAGACTGACTCCTTAAAGTGTTACTAAACCCACAACAGTAAAATCAGTCTGTATATGCAGTAAAGCATGCTTGTTTTACTCACTGGGGAACCTAACGGGTTAATCCTCCGCATTTTTTGATCCTGTCTTCTCTGATCCTCCCCTTTTCTACTGTCCCCAATCTATCTGCTTATAGTACAGAACTCTAGGAGTCACTATGCATATCCTCAGGTCAGTGTGTATGGCTAGTTTTCTTTTTTTGGGAGGGTGCATGTAATCAGCCAATCAGCACTGTCCAGACAGAGGGTCAGGGGCCATGCAGCCTCATAGGACAGTCAGAGAATGAAAACTCCTCCTACAAGCTTTAACCAGTGCTCAGCTGGACACTGATAGCAGTCACAAGACTGCTATATACTGCTGATGACAAAAGGTATTTACCATTATTTTACTAAAATAATTGCATTTCCATGTTCTGTGTACTGTGAAAGACCGGATATAGTGAATGCAGGGTCCGGGGTCTAATGACACTTTAAGTGATAGGCATTAGTTCTATTTGTTTATATGAAGGGTTAATTAATTACCCATAAAGTAGTTTATGACTGCTGGACAATACAACGATAAAATGTGAAAAAAGTTATTTATCTGTCCTAATTATTTAAGTCTCTACAGGCTTTTGAAGTTTCCAAAATATTCTCACCCTGACTATTGACCTGCAGGAAATGTAAGACTGCTGTCTGTAAAGTGTACAGTGTCTGTGCACCTTGAGAGCCATTACTAAAATGTTCACATCATATGACGCCCTTCCGGATCGACGAGAGTCCCTCCCGGCCTATAGGAAAATGACAGCCAGGCGGGACTCTCATGGTTAATTGAAGGGTGTGTTTGACCTCCTTTTGATCTGTATTTGACCTGCATCAATCAGGTTCTGTGTTCTTATAGATTTGTATGGACACACACACAACCCATTTGAAATAAACAAAAGCTCATTATCACAAGCCCTTTAAATAATTCCTCTTCTTCCATTGTGACCCAGGAAATTCAAAAGATTGGGCCCTCCTGAGTTAAAATAAACGTAAACCCTCACCTTTGTATAGCAAACCATTCAATTTAAAGTAGAAATGAAAGGCTAAAACATTTGTGTATAGATATAATAAAAATATATTAATACCTTTTTTCCTTTTTTTATAACACATTCCCTCTGTTCTTGTTTGCATAAGGAGCTCAGGGAAGAAAAACAGCAGTACACTGATCTTCCCAGTGAATGGCTGTGCAGGGGGGGGGTGCCAGGACGATTCTGATCATTGTAGGAGAGCAGAAAAAGTTCCCTGCACAGCTAGAGAGCTGACCACGCTGTGCTCATGCCTAGTGCTAGTGCTAAGAAAGCAGAGAAACTGGCAGGAACACCAGAAATGTTAAACACAGAAAACAGGACACTGTTCAAGCACGTATCAAGAACATGAAATGTTGTGTTTACATATTCTGTAAAGCAGAACTACAGTATAGGCAAAACTTTTTTTCATTTTAGATAGAGTAAGGGAGGGTTATAACCCCTGTCAGTTTTTTTTTTGCCATCTGTGTCCCATTGGGGTGATTTAACTTTGCCTCCTGTTCTATAACAAAAACAGGAAGTGAGAGGAAATCCCTGCCCCTTTGGGGCCCCTAGGTCACCAAAACCAGTGTCCCCATTGAAAGATTTCGCCTCTATTACTATTCTGAGAACAACACAAAATTTGGGATTTTCTATTACTTTCACTTGCAATGCTTATGGTGGACAGGACAAATACTGTAGAAAGGAGGAACCTCTGTAACAGGAACACAGACA